CATCTACAAACTTCATCCAACTCAACATATCACTGGCAAACACAATATTCTCTCAAATAAAAGTAAAAATTCACCTGCAAGTTACACAACATATTAAATAATAATAATAATGGCTGGAGACAGCTTGAAGAAAAACTTTAATATAAGTTTAACATAACAGCAAATGTACAACGTTTCGACAAGGTTTTGTCATCATCAGGTAATAATAATGCAACTTTTACATAAGAACATGGTTATTACTTACCTATAGTCAGCAAACATAGTGATTGAATCAATATCGGTAAAGGTACCTAATCCTTTTCCTTCAAAACATCCCCAAATGTCACCTATCAGAATCTGTGCTCTTTTATAAAATGACACTGAAACAGAATTTACACTATTAATGTACATAAAGCATACCATGTAAAAATTAGGTACACTATTGAAAGATCAATTTCCAACTTAGTATCAGCTACTTCAGTTCATAAACTCTCACAGGTGCACCTAATTCTTGTGTTATATAAAAACTACAAAAAAGAAAAAACAACATACATTTTACACTATCATAATCATTGGGTTTTGAAAGAACATCCTGTTAAAGGTGGTAAAAAACGAAAAAGGATTTAATATTGTTCTTAGTATTTCATTTCGGTATATGAACTTCATTTAAAATATAGTATCTTACGAAAGAAACTAATTACGAAATATTTTGAAAAGATTGTTATAGATTATTTCTATGAAATAATATATTTAGTTGAAAAATCTCTCAGGTTCTGGAATCCATATGCATTTTTGGGTACAATCTTAGTAACTTTCAGGAAATACAATCGTAACACCAAGAAACAAAAACCATTTCATACCATTATTTATAGGTTCTCAATGGTGGCCATTTTAGATTTAAAAATTTTTGCAGATATAAGATGTTTACACAATATTTAGACATATATCCACATACATACTGACTTATAAAACAGCCTAGTGAGATGGTTCCACATAATATACTCCATTAATTTCACCAAGGATTAAAAATATAAAGTTGCTGAAGTTATTATATTCTCCTTCTTAGGTTCAAAGATTTATTATATTTACATTTTTTTCACATGGTGTCTAATGCATAGATATTTAGTACCCGTATTTTGGCTTACAAATTTCACATTGTGGTAAGTTATATAACACAAAGACATCCCTGAATATCTCTAACTACAGTGTGTCATCAGGGTCTAGAGGGCCTTCCATGTTTTGGTACATTTCTGTGTCCACTTCACAGCAGCCCAGTTCTGTGTAGATCCTTTGCTCAGCATCAAATTCTTGTTGATTCACATTTGTTCAGTGAATTCAAATTACTGGCACCACAGGTGTACCTCCCTGACTCAACAACAGCTGATGGAGCTGATGTAACCTTGAACAATTCATGAATCAAGTGGGTGCCTTCATTTATCTGGTTAAGCTTGAGAAGGTATGGAAATATTCATTGAAATTTTAAGATCCTACTCCCATAAAGCCGGTTTGTAATGAGCTCATTCAATAAGTTCCATCCATGCATTAAATGTTAGAAGTAGTATGTCAATCCTTTTGTCAGTGTCCTGTTTCTTGAATAAGGTCCACTTAAGGTTGTGTGAAGAGACCATACAGAAATAATATACATCCCTTGATAGTGTCATCAAAAGGCTCATTTATAATTCACAGAGCAAATATAGAAGCTACAATGTTGAGAGCTGCCTTCAAAAATTCTTCTTTGATTTAACTTTTGATGTGGCCCATTGTAACAATATTGGTAAGGGGATCCCACTTGTTTTATCCACTCTAAGTGCATTGTAAATTGGCTGTACTACAAGTCAATTCTGGCGACTTGTACCCATAAACATTACTGCTTTATCATCAAGAAGATGAAAATGTCTAAAGGCAAGAATAAATATGCCTGTGTTTTAACTGTAAGTATGAATAGTAAATCTAGATTTTGCTGTTTCTACTACACCAAAATTTATCAAAATACCAGCCTCTTCCTGTAATCAAACATAGTGAATAATATTGTCAGCTCTGTTTGACATGGCACTTTTATGAACATTATATGTTAGATCCTGTGCCAGGTAAAGGGTGACAGAATCTTTCTTTGTAGTGTTTGATCAGGAAAAGAAACCCTAGCAGTCGAGTAATAGCTGTAGTTTGAGAGGAGGCAAGTATTATTGGAAATACATTTTCGACTTAGGAAATTGTTAACTTTCAATTATTTGGCTATTCTCATAGAATCAATTTGATGATAATTGGAAACTAATTGATTACCTTATGAGACACTAAATCTCTGCTTGTAGGTAATTGATTAAACTACCCAGCTCTATGAGAAGGTAGTTGGAAAGTGCAAGTTTCCGACTAATACCATACACCCATGAATCTGGCTTCAAGTGAGAGTTAAAGTGTTCACAGTTGTGGAAGACCTTCCAGAACAAATACCAAAAATTAGCTCAGCCGGGTCTCTGCACCAATTCAAATATGTGCCTAAATGTTAATGGTATGACTGTTGTACAAGAGCTCATGTCAGTAAAACCAATTGAGAACTTCTAGGTCTGTCCTCAACAGTGCATATGTTGCACTCATAGATACACAAGCTTATACTTAAAATTACCATATTACCCAGGTTATATTTGTTGTATCTGATAGTTACTTCATTTAGAGATAATAAGGCACCCATGAGCATATAGGAAGTAGAAGATACTACTAAAATCAGAGATGTAGAATAATTTCTTGGTTTTCTTGCTTGCTCCAGTCTTTTATTCCCCACTTAATTGCCCTTGGCAGTATCTGTCTCATGACATTCTCTACCTAAGTCAATGCGCCCTCTATCCTGGTACCGTATATAAGCACCTCCTACAGATAATATTGTCACTTTTTTGAGACTGACCCAATCTGCTGTCTCTAATACTGGCTCTTAATGGGGAGGAAGAGGGAGTTATGGCAGGAGAGTGTGAGGGAGGTAAGTATTACTAGAAATACATCTTCAATTTAAGAAAATGCTAACTTTCAAAACATACTTAACTCCACTCACACTACAGCTAGAATCCCACATTGATATGACAAAGGGGCCAGTGAGGGCATTATCCATACAGAATGCATCTGCTTAGATCGCGGGCATGCTAAAAGAAATATAAGATTAGCACTATAGTGGGGGAACCGCAATACATCCAGAACAGGTATGCTCTTCATCTGGAACCTAAATCATGTATTGCAGGTGAAATTTGATGTGATCCATCATCCATGCCAGGCACCAACCAAGTAGAAGAGGTCCCACTGCTTGAAGTTGGAATTACAGGGCCATGGCCCCTAAATCCCATGTTGGTGG